GGGCCGCATGCATACCAGGCGAGCGAGCTACCACTTGAGCCACATCCCCAGCCCTAGAATTTTTTTTTTTTTTTTTTTTTTTTTGGTGCTGAGGATTTTATAAAAGAGAATAAAATCATGGCATTTGCAGGTAGATTAATAGAATTAGAGAAGATAATGCTATGTGAAGTTATCCAATCCCCAAAACCCAAAAGCCAAATGTTTTCTTTGATATAAGAAGGCTGATTCATAGTGGGATAAGGAAAGTGAGCATGGGACGAATAGACAAACTCTGGATAGGGCAGAGGGGTTAGAGGGGAAGGTACAGGGCATGGGGTTATAAATGATAGTGGAATGTGATGATCATTATTATCCAAAGTACATGTATGATGACATGAATTGGTGTGAATATACTTTGTATAAAACCAGAAATATGAAAAATTGTGCTCTATATGTGTAATAAGAATTGTAATGCATTCCACTGTCATATATAAATAAAAATTAAAAATGATAATACTGCAAAGAAGTCTCTGAGTCAGGGTTCAAAACCAGCCTATGTGACCCCAGAGCCCTTTTCACTGCTTTGTTGGTACTGTCCCATGGCTTGAGCTGGAAAGCTGCTGGCACCACACCTCATACTGCATGGAGGAGCATAAGGAGTGAAGCTGGCCACCGAGAGGCTCCACTGAGAAGCAGACAAAACAACTCAGGTCATGGACTGGAAGGTATTTCAGGAAATGTGGCATGCTGGCAGAACTGAAGTTGCAACCCCCAATAATCTATTTCCCATTGACCTTAAAAAGGATCCCAGGGCTGGGTCTGTATCTCAGAAGCAGAGCACTTGCCTCTCATGTGTGAGGCACTGGGTTCGATCCTCAGCACCACATAAAAATAAACAAAATAAAGGCATGCTGTCCATCTACAACTACAAAAAATAAAATAGAAAATAAAAAAGGGATCCCAAATCAGAATTCATAACTCATAAAGTGGGATGTAGGTTGTTTGGAAAATTTTCATGATATTTCACAAGGGATTGAGAATCTGAGGGGGGCCAAAATGTGCTTCCCACACCAGAACTGTCTCCTGCCCTGTATAACTGTCTTCAGCAACAGGGAGCTGACCCAAATCCTGGAATCAGAAGCTTCAATATCATAGAAGCATAAATTTGTTGTTATTTGTTTTAGTACTAGGAATTGAACCTAGGGGCTTTATCACTGAGCTACATCCTCAGCCCTTTTTATTTTTTATTTTGAGACAGGGCCTCACTAAATTACTGAGGTTGGCTTGAACTTGTGATCCTCCTCCTTCAGTCTTTTTTTTTTTTTTTTTTTGGTGGTGCTGGGGATTGAACCCAGGGCCTTGTGCATGCAAGGCAAGCACTCTACCAACTGAGCCATATCCCCAGCCTCCTTCAGTCTCTTGAGTTGCTAGGATTATAGGCCTATGTCACTGCACCTTGCAAAGTTTAGAATTTTTTTTTTTTTTTTTTTTTTTTTTTTTTTTTTTTTTTTTTTTTTTTTTTTTTTTTTTTTTTTTTTTTTTTGGTGCTGAGGATTGAACCCAGGGCCCTAGGCATGTGAGGCAAGCACTCTACCAAACTGAGCTATATCCCCAGCCCTAGAATTTTAAATCATAGGTCCAGAATCACAAACACCTCCACCTGATGGATCTGAGAATTACAGAGATGAAATCTCATCACTGGTTTTGAGTTCAGATCCATTTCCAAGGAAGGGACTCCACAGCTATCCAAGGATTCCAGCCACCAGATGAGACACACCTAACCTGGAGGCAGCTGAGGGCTCCTCTAGCAAGAATTCTGTCTGCTGCAGCCCAGCCTCTTCCTCGTTTTGCAGCTCTGCCCTTTAGTCACTTGGGCAAACCTGCCTGCCTGCACTTCGCCTGGGCTTCTGGTGCTATGCCTACCACAAATGGGCTGTGGAATGACTAGGAGGGAGCCCTATTTGTAGGCTGGTCCCAACGCTAAGATGTGCAGGGATGGGACAGTTCCATTTCCTCTTCCTAACAGTTTGGGGTTTCCATTTCTGGAAATTTGATCATTGACTCCTGAACCCTTCAGAATCCCCTCTGTCCAACGCAAATGCTCTGGAAGGGCGATATTTCCTCCTACCAGCACCAAGGACATGAACTCACATTTACTCCACACTGAACAGCCCCAGTGGCTGACTTTTAGGTCCTTTACAAATATGACTTCAGTGGGTCTTTCCCTCTCCTCAGAAAATAGCTAGTATTTTATGGCCAAGTAAGCTGATGCTCTCGCAGATCAAGTAATTGAATCAAGTTCAAGTGGCCGAATAGGGGGTGAGCAACATCTGAAGCCTTCCCCCTTTGGACATGCTGTGGGAGACCAGGCAGTGTGAAGGTCAGGGGTGAGGGTGGAGAGAAGACATGTCCCCACACTGGGAGAATGGAGACTTGGGTTTAAGCCTCAGGTGTGACACCTTGTGGGAGCAACTGGAAATAAAGAATTCTCTGGTGTTTGTGTCCAGCAGGTACTAGCTGAAGTATGAAGGCTACTTGTGTGCTGGCTGCACATGTTTTCCCTCACATAGGCCGCCCSGCCAGAGATGTGGAGGCCTCTGCTTGGCCAGAGGGCCCCTTCTCCCACTTCTCCCAGCCCCTCACCTCCTTCCCATCTTTGTGGTTCTGAGTCTTGCCTCCCAGCTTGTCCCTTCACCAAGGCGCAGTTCTTGCTGCTTAGCCTCTGTCCGGCATCCCCTCCATTCTCCTAATCTACATCCCAGTATCTCTTTCCCGGGTCATTGTGTGGCCTCCCCTCTGATACTCTTGTCCATTTCTCTCCACACAGTAACAATAATATATACACAGAGAATATTAGCGTGGAGGTTCCCGTACCCAAGACAGCACAACTGGATTCTCATAGGTGTTTAGGAAATCCTGGGAGTTTAAGAAATCCATCTGGACACAGCCAGTCCTTACCACGCCAACCAGGGCATCTTGTCCTCCTCAGAAATCCCTCATGTACTCATCAAAACTGAACACAGCCTGAGCCTGAAACCCATTCTGTGCTGGGCTCTGGGGACATGGGGCAGAAGAATCTGTCTCCTCCCCCAGGCATAATGGGGAAACAGAAAAAGGAGTAGAGTTGAAATGTTCTGTCCACAAATATTTTCTCTGGAGGGCAGCATGATCATCTTTAAATATGTAAATATGTAAATACCCTGCCTAAAGCACTAGAGAGAGCTTTTCAACACGCAGTGAAACCTCCTTTCCTGTTTGTTCTGGTCAGCCTGCTTCCTGGATCCTAGATCTGGTCAGCACTGATCTTCACCATGCTCTGGGCGGTAGATTTTACTGTGCATCATGTCACATTACTCTAAGTCTTACTCAGCATCTATTTCTGATGTTTACTTATTTCCTGGTCTACCTGTGTATATCTGTGTCTCACACTGGAATATGGTCTCCAGAGCCCAGGCCTGTATGTGTAAAGTGACACTGTATCTGTAGTGCCTAATACAATACCTGAAACATGGTATGTACACAGGTCCTGGGTTACAAATGTGATGAAAGACAGAGCCAGGAAAGAGAAGCCAAGATGCCAGGGCCCTGGAGACCATGACTCTGACTCAGGGATGGGCTCAGAAGACTCTCTAACAAGAGGTCACCTGAAGTTGAATTTTATGGAGTATTAGAGTGGAGAAATRGCCTTCTAGGCAACCCTGAGCAACAGTCCTGAGAGCACAAGGCCAGTTGGTGTGGCTAGGACAGTGAATGATCAATGAGTGACCAATGAGTGATGCACCTGGGCAGGTCACAACCCTGCCCCCCAAGGGCCTTGAACTTCAACCTCTAATTGACGGAGAGTCATGGAAACATTTTAGAGCAGAAAAATAGCAGTCTGGTTTGTGCTTTAGAAAGAATGTTTGGAGAGTGAGAGATTGGAGGAGCTGGGAAAGCTAGGGGCTGTTGTGAGGGTCTAAGGGAAATGAACAGCTTTCAGGAGGTAAAATCAGCAGGATTGGAAACTGGTGTGAGAGTGAGGGAGGGAGGTGTCAGAGGTGACTCCCAGGTTTCAGGCTTGGGCAACTGGGTGAATGACTATACCACTGGCTGGGATGGGGACCCAGGAGGAGGAACAGGTTTGGGAATGAAGATGTTGAATTTAGTTTGGGACTTGCCAAGTCTGAGGTGCTCCTAGGACAGTCAGATGGAGGATAGTTGCATTGCCCTTTCCGGGATAGAAGAGTGAACATTAAATATGTCAATAAGAAGGACTTGTGGGGAGGGTCTCAGCTCAGAAGAAGGATCAGGGCTGTCCCCTCATGGGAACACATCCAAAGGTAGCAACTCATCCAGGATGTGGAGTTAGCTGGGAGAGGTGACAATCAAAAGAGGGCAATGACACGTCTTTGAAGGGTCATTGGAGAAGCTGTGATGCACATCATTCCACACTCGGACTAAGACCCAGGATATGGTCACCACCCCAACTCCCAACACTGCTTGCTGCCCTCTGATGGAGACAGCCCCTCAGGAGGACAATGTTCCTCCTCTTATCTGTGGGGGCAAGCTGGGGAGARCTATGCGAGTGGGCAGAGGGCTGAGCAGAGAGTGGCTGCCCAAAGTGGACTATCAGCACTGCCAGAGGTCCAGCCCCCTCAGGGTGACTACAGGTTGTGGCACTGGCAGCAGGAGTCAGGTGAGACTGAATCCCTAGGCCCCAGACCCAGTCCTGCTGTGCTGGAGCTGGGAGCACCTGGAGCTGGGGGAGGTGCGRGGCTGCCCTTGTGGCCATTAACCCCGTGCCCAGCAGCCTGTGCGCTGTCGTCTCCCTCTGTGCCCCCTCGGCTGTCCCTCCCGTCGGCGGTGTCCCCTAGCGGCCTGTCGGTCCCCTCTGCGCCTCCCACCGAGTCCCCGCCCCCGCCCGGTACCTGCGGTCTCTTTTCCCGGAAGCCGGCCCCCTCCAGGCGGTCAGAAAGGCCATGGGCGCGGGCCAGGCTCTGAGGAGGGCGCGGGCGGCCCCTCCAGGTGGCGGTGTGGGCGACAGCAGCCGCGGCTCCAGCGGCAGCTCCAGGACCCGGCGCGCGGGGCGGGCCCGGCAGCTCCTCCCAGACCTGGCCGGCACCTCCCTGCTTGGTGAGGGCGTCGGTACCCCGGGAGTGGGGTCCCAGAGCAGCACACTCCCATCCAGAACCAGAGAGGACCTCGAACATCATTGGGCATGGGAGAAACTGAGGCCCACAGAGGGCCAGGGGTTTGTTCTAGGTAACACACGGGGCCAGGCGCAGCCCTCTTCACTCTGCCTAGAGCCTGGTCTCCATGCTGATGAGTGGCCTGATGGCCCACTGCGTGACAAAGTGGTTCCGCCAACCCCTCTCCCACCTACTACAGAACCGGCCTTCCCAGGCCTGCCTGTGCCTGAATTGGGTCAAATGCTTGGGACTGGGTCAAATGCAAGGCACAGAGCAGGAGTGGCAGGGGGCTAACATGGAGAAGGGAGATAGGAAGTAGTTGCCTGGTCCTAAAGGGTACAGCCCGCAGACCAAACCAGGGCAGGCCAGGCACTGAAACACAACCCAGTTTATGGATTTCTGGTCCCAGGCTCCTCATGGAGGTGGATAGAAAGAGGAGAATAAGCCACAGTCTGTCTCCAGTACAAACTTTCTTTAAAGCCTTGTATTTCTTCTTGGGTCATGTGCACTTTTGATTTTTATTTTAAATTATCATCAACAAGTGGAATTGGCTCTGGCACCTCCAGGTGAGCCCCTCAGGGTGCAGTCCCAACAATTCAGCTAAGGATGAGGCAGAGGAACACCTTGAAGTATTAGAAGAGAACTTCTCCAGATCCCATGGGAATAGATTCAAGGGCTTGTGGAGGCTTCTTTCATGGGTGAGGATTGAACACAGCAGAGGCAAGCTAGCTCATTTTGGGCTGGGTCTATATGCTAGGTGCTTGTGCAATTCGAATCTTGTGTCAAACAAATGGTGACTGATTCTTACAAGTTAGAATTCTATGATGTGCCAAGTCTTGAGTCATTTTGCACCAATTCTCATATTTCTTCATCTTATTAAATATTCCCACTTTACAGCTGATGAAACTGAAGTTCAGAGGGGTTAACTAACTTCCCTGAGACCAAGTTGTGGAATCAGGTCTTAAACCCATGTCTGTCTGTCTCTACCTGCTTGCCTGTGGTCCACAGGTGGGCTGGGCATGGGGTGGGAGGCTCTGGGCAAATCTGCCAGGAGTGTGAACACCCCAAGGGCCATCAGGGCAGACTCTTACTCTTCCCTGGTAGGCAGAGATGTGATTTTCCACCCTTTCTCTGAGCACTCATTCGATGGTCTTGGCAGATCAGCAAGGGCCTGAGAATGCTGCCTATCTGCCCATAAAACTAGAACTTCCAGATCTGGAAATTCCACTTTCAGTGTACCTACAAGCCCCAAACCCCTCAGTTCACAGAACCTTGTCCAACTGGGCAGCACTGGGCACTGCAGACAGCTAGCATTCTCCTGGGCTCACAGGCAAGGCGTCAGAAGCCTAGTCTCCCACAGCTCCAGAGCTCAGTCTACAAAAAAGAGAATTAAAGAATCACCTAGCCTCTGAGCCCATAGCCAATGCCACTTCCTCTAGGAAACCCTCTAGATTTTCACATTGAGGGAGGTCTCTTCAGAGGGTACATTTTTGTTTCTTGTACAGTATTTAGCAGTACATATTTTTAATTCTTTGCATTAGTTATCTACAACATCAGTTTCAGTCTTCAGATTTCCATCTGAAAGTATGGAGAATAACTCATATCTGTGTCTTCCTCGGAGCCTAGCACATTGATACATATCTTAGCRCTCAGTGTTGAGTAAATGAAGGTAATACCTAGCAAGTTGCTACTCAGTGGCAGGTACTAGGCTGAGGGTCTACAAACACTACTTCTGATCCAGACAATTCTGTTTTAAGAAATTTGACTCAGATGTTTAGAAATGAACTTAAGACCAAATCAGGAGCTGGGATTCAACTTCAAGTTCTTGAACTTCAGGTTAGTTTCTTATTCTTAAAATTATCTGTTTAGAACTACATTAGGCATTATTCTAAATTTCATATGTACCAACTCATTTAATCCCAGAAACAACTAAACAACTATATCATGTATTTTTGTTTTGTTTTTGGGTACTGGGGATTGAACTCAGGGGCACTTGACCGCTGAACCACATCCCCAGCCCTATTTTGTATTTTATTTAGAGACAGGGTCTCACTGAGTTGCTTAGCACCTCGCTAAACTGCTGAGGCTGGCTTTGAACACACGATTCTCCTGCCTCTGCCTCCCAAACTGCTGGAATTACAGGCGTGCACCGAGTTTGGCATTTTTTTTTTTTTTTAATTTATACCTGGGATTGAATCCAGGGGCACTTAACCACCGAGCCATATCCTCAGCCTTTAAAAGTTTTTTTAAGGCAGCGTCTCATGCCAGGAGCAGTGGCACACACGGCTAATCCCAGTCTCAGGAGGCTGAGGCAGAAAGATTATGAGTTCAGAGTCAGCCTCAGCAACCACGAGGCACTAAGCAGAGCAGTAAGACCCTGTCTCAAAATAAAAAATAGGGCTGGGGGGCAGGGGATGTGCATGCATGCAGCCAGGGTTCCATCTTTAGCACCAAATACAAACAAAGATGTTGTGTCCGCAGAGAACTAAAAAATAAATATTAAAAAATTCTCACTCTCTCTCTCTCTTTAAAAAACAAACAAACAAACAAACAAAAAAACAGGGCTGGGGATGTGGCTCAGTGGTTGAATGGCCCTGAGTTCAACCCCCAGTACCACTCCCAACCCCCCCCCCCCCCCCAAAAAAAAAAAAAGACAGGGTCTTGCTAAGCGCCTAGGGCCTTGCTAAATTGCTGAGGCTGGCTTTGAACTTGAGATCCTCCTGCCTCAAACTCCCGAGTAGCTGGGATTACAGGCATGTGCAACCACATTTGGCTTTATGTATGTCCTTTTACATCTTACATGTATCAATTTTAATAGTTGAGAAAGTGAGGCAGAGAGGGATTAAGTAATTTGCTCAAAATCACACAAATGGCAGAGCTGGGACTCAATGCGAACAGCCAGACTACATCTTAACCACAGCCTCATTCGGCCTGCCATAGAAGCCTAAAATGCACAAAGCACTTATGAGCCATTTCCCCAACTTTATCTTATTTTGCATCTCCTAACAACCCCAAGGTAGTGTAGGTTTTATCCTTCCTATCCYCCATAGCTCTGGTGGCATGCTGCCTAGGTTAGAATCTTGGTTCCTCACTTGCTAGCTATGTGTGATTTCAGGCAAGTTACTTCACTGCTCCTGTTTTCTCATCAGGAAAATGAGGACAAAAATAGTATCTATTACAAACGTTGTTGTAAGGATTAAATGAGTTAATGCAAACAAAAGAGAATGGTGCTAGACATAGTGTTATATGAACTACCTTCAGTGGTAAATTTATCCAGAATTAGAAATATACTATAAAAACAACTTTCAAGATAACTGAATTTTACTCCCTTTAATCACAGATCAAACATTTTCCTAAAATATGTTATTACCTTTTCCCTTTTTTTTGATACTAGGGATTGAGCCCAGGGGTGCTTTACCACTGAGCTACATCTCCCTCCCTTTTTAGTTTTTGAGACAGGATCTCACTAAACTGCCTAGGGCCTACCTAAATTTCCAAGGCTGGCCTCAAACTTGCAATCCTCTGTAACTTAGCCTCAAGAGTCACAGGTGTGTCCCACCATGCCTAGCTCCTTTTTTATTTTTTAAAAAMAGGTATGTTGGGACTGGGAATATGGCTCAAGTAGTAGTGAGCTCGCCTGGCATGAGGCACTGGGTTCGATCCTCAGCACAAGATAAAAATAAAATAAAGATATTGTGTCCACCTAAAGCTAAAAATAAATATTAAAAACAAACAAACAAATAGGTATGTTAGCACTAAGGATCTGCCACGTAATAGGAAGCCAGATATTAYATCCATCTTTGTTGTTGTTGATGTTTGGGAGATTGAACCAGGGATGCTTTACCACTACATCTCCAGTCTTTTTTGAGACAGGGCCTAAGTTGCTTAGGGTCTAAGTTACTGAGGCTGTTTTCAAACTGCAGTCCTCCTCCTGTCCTGAGTTGCTGGGATTGTTGTCTCCATTCAGCAAATAACTGAAGAACAGGATGCAGAGCAAGGAAACAGTAGGTTTATTGCAAAAGTGAGAGAGACAGACTTCCCCAGAACTGGGAATCTGGTGAGGGAGTTTTGGCCAGTTATTTTTATGGTATCTGGAATTTCCTCCCCTGTCCACTCTCTCCTCACTATARTTGATTGGTGCCCCCCTCTGTCTGCATGTCTGTTTTAGTTTTTCTTTTTGGGTACCAGGGACTGAACTYGGGGGCACTCACCCACTAAGCCACATCCCCAGCCCTATTTTGTATTTTATTTAGAGACAGGGTCTCACTGAGTTGCTTAGTGCCTCACTTTTGCTGAGGCTGGCTTTGAACTCGAAATTTTCTTACCTCAGCCTCCTGAACTGCTGGGATTACAGGAGTGCGCCACAGCGCCCATCTGTTTTAGTTTTTCTATTGGATCTCCCACTTAGGAGCACAGATTGGGTCCTCCTCTTGTGTCCATGAGTACTTTTGTCTTGCAGGAAGTTGACTTCATTAGAAGATCCTCTTCGTACCCCTTTGTTCTGGCCCTGCCCCTTACTTCCTCACTTGCCATCTTGTCCTGGCTGCCTAAGCCGTTCTCACAACAACTCTTCGAGGGAATTATTATCCCTCGTAAGGATCAAAGAGGTTTAAGAGACTTACCCTAAGTCACCCGGCTAGAAAATGGTAAGGCATTTTGCTATGTATCCCAGGTTRGCCCAGAACTCCTGGATTCAAATRATCCTCATGCTTCAACCTCCCAAGTAGCTGGGACTATAGGCATGTACTCCCAGGCCTGATGGAGATAATCTTTTATATAATTTACCTGGTTATATACTATTAACACCTAAATTTTTTAATTGAAAAGATTTAAAAAGAAAATCAGTGGCTTTCATTTTTTCTTTTGACCCAGGACATATCAATGACAAATTTCATGATTTAAAAAATGATGCTCTTTAACATACTGAAAAATGTATACACAATGATGAAAGCAAAGATATGCAAAGTCACCACAACCAGACTTATAGCTACCCAACCAGTCAAACCAGACTGTAACCTGATTAAGCATATGAATCCAAA